GGTCCCACAGCGCCCTCTGCGGTCCGGCCCCTCCTCACGGTTGCCCCTGTGTCCCACCCTTTAGGTTCCCCCGGCCCCGCAGCGCCCCCTCTGGCCGGGCCGCCGCCGCCCCGGTCCCGCTACCTCCTCTCCGTAGCGTAGCTCTCTTCGTGTCCGGCACCCACTTCCGGCCTCAATTTCGAGGGGCGGGTCTGAGGAGGCGGTCATTGGGAAGTGACGTCACAGGCAGGGTCCCTAAGCGATAGGAGGAGAGAGAGACGAGGACTTTCCCTCCGGCCGCAAGGAGGCCTCAGAACTCCCTCGGGGAGCCCCGCCCTGACCATAGAGACGAGGACGGTCTCTGGGGCTAGGAGGGCCCTGGAGCAGAAAGCACCATCGAGAGGGGGCCTCTCTCTCCGCTTGGAGGACCGACGAAGGCGGGGTCGGGCCAACCTTCCACGGGCCAGGGCAGCCGGGGCCTAGGGACGCCGGGGTCCAGCGAGTGCATGGGCGGGCGGGAGGGGGAAAGCTAGGGAAAGAACAACAGAACGACGGGAAGAAGCACTGAATGAGTGAATGCAAAGGCCCCGAGGACACCCAGACTGAGATGCCCCGACCACGGACGAGGGCAGCGGGGACGGCTCGTGGTGTCGCGGTCCTCTGCTGGCGTGTGCAGGGGTGGTCACGTGGGATGGGGCCCTCTCCCTCCCTCGGTTAATCATCTCCCATTCTTGCCTCTCTTTGTGTCCCCGGCGCTGGGCACGGGGCCAGGCACACAGTAAGCGCCTCCTAAGTGCTGATGGGCAGAGGCAGTGGAATGAGCGAACCCCAAGCCCCTGCAGCTTAGAGAGCAGCGCTCCAGCGGGTCCAGATGTTTGGGGACCCCCTTCGCTTTCATCCGAGTCTGACGCCCAGGTGCCTTCCCTGGGGCTTCCCAGGCGGGCGAACCCCGGGGACAGACAGACCCGCCCGCGCATTTAGGGTTGGGGTTTGGCTCCCCCTCCCACCTTTGGGGAAGGGTCATCCAAACGTCGCCCTGGCTTCCCACTGTTGGCATGTAGGCTCCCTGAGGGCAGAGGCAGACCCCTTTTTAGTTCCTGGCGCGTGATCACTCTTGGTTAATGATTGTCCCTGGAGCCGACCAATCCCAAAATTCCTCCAACAGATCCCAGTATCTTTTCCTGGCTGTCTTCGTCCTTCCCAAAAGAAGAGCAAAGGAAACTTTGTCAAGTGTTTTGGCTGAATACATTTCACCTACAACTTTCCCCTGGGTCTATCTGGATGGTCCCTGTCTCCAACCCTAATTCCGCCTCACAGAGCCGCCTCAGGATCTAATCAATCAGAATTGATTAAGCACCTACTGGCACTAGGTGCTTGTGCTGGATACAAAAAGAAAAAAGGCAAAAGAGCCTTCCTGCCCTCAAGGAGCTTACAAAGTCATGGGAGAGACCACTCCCGAACAAGACTGGGAGGCAGGCACTAGAATTTAGCGGAGGTAGGGGAAGGCTTCCCCTAGGTTGGATTCCTGTAGGTTGGATTTTAGTCCAGACTTTAAGGAAGCAGGGTAGGTCTGTAAATGGAGTGGAGGAGGGAAGGCATTCTAGGCATGAGGGAAGACCTGAGCACACAACCATTGAAAAATCTGTGTTGGGGAATGAGATATAAGGAGATTGGGAAGGTTGGGTATATTACAAAGGGCTTTGAATGCCAAACCCAGCATTTGTATTTGATCCTGGAGGCAATAGGGAGCCACTGGAGTTGGGGGGGGGGGGGCGGGGTTGTGACATGGTTGGACATGGACTTTAGGAAAATCACTTTGGTGGATGAATAGAAGATGGACTAGAGTGGGGAGAGACTTGAGGTAGGCAGAGCCACCCCACCCCAGTAGCTATTGCAGCAGTCCAAGTATGAGGTAATGAGGGGCTGCACCTAGATGAGAGGAGAGGTGGGGATATGTTGGAGAGATGCTGCAGAGGTGAAATCGACAGGCCCTGGCACCATATTGGATCTGGGGGTTGAGAGAGAGGGAGGAGTCCAGGATGACTCCTAGGTTGTAAGCCTGAAGGACTGGGAGGATGGGGTTGCTCTCTACAGCTATGGAGAAGGGAGGAGGCCCGAGAGGGCTTAGGGGGAAGGATGATGAGCTCGGTTTTGGACATGTTGAGTTTAAGATGTCTACTGGACATCCAGTTTGAAAGGCCAGTGGAGATGAGAGATTGGAGGTCAGTAGAGTTTAGGTCTAGAGAGGTTGGCCTGTGATACCAGACCTGACTTCACACACACACTCAGTGCTAGTCAAACCAGCCTGCTTATTCCTAATTCCTTACCCAGGAACCTCCACCCATTCCTCAGCGCTCTCCTTCCTCACCTCTCCACCGTCTCACAAAGGCCTTGGATAGTCTGAGATGGCCCCAGCCACCAAGCTTGCCCCTTCCTAAGTGACAGCTTTCAGCTCTTCTGCTCCTCCTCCACAGACTTGAAGAGAGGCACTGTTTCCCTGGCTTGGTAGGTGTCCACCAAATAGCCCTTTAAAAATTGGCTCTAAGATTTTCCCAGAAATTTGAAAGCCTGTAGTTTATAGGACTCCTCTCTTGCACTTCTCAAGGGGAGAGGGAGGAAACAAAAGATAAAAGGGAAAGGGTCAGGATAGAAAGAAGATAAGGGAATGGGGGAGGGAGGGAAAGAATGAGCTACACCCTCCCCTTATCTAGACAAAATGGTCTGTTTCCTTTGTAATCCTCTCCTAGGCACACTAGGAAAAGAACATGAGTGAGCTGTGGAGTATCCCAAGCACCCCAAGGTCATCCCAGTTAGCTGGAAGAAGGGAGGACTAGAGGGGATGGAGGGTGGGGTGGTAAGGAGGGCTCACCCTCAGCCTGCACTCCAGAGGGCAGCTGGCTATTTCCCCCCCTCAGTGCTCCAGGGAAAAGACCTCTACACACACATGCCACCCCCATAAGTATCTACAGAGTCCAAAGGAAAGCAGCTGAGCATATTGTCTGGTTTGTCCTCAGCTCCCTGGGGGCAGACACTGTTCTCTGTCCATCATTACTGCTCAAGAGACATTGCCTGAAGGCTGAAAAGTGGGAACCCTCGGAATCCCCCAAAGTTCACAAGGTCCTCCTGTGGTTGTTGTGGAGGCTTATCTGACTCTCCATGACCCCATTTGGGGTTTTCTTGGCAAAGATACTGGAATGGTTTTCTTTTTCCTTCTCCAGCTCATTTTACAGGTGAGGAAACTGAAGCAAACTAGGTTAAGTAACTTGTCCAGGGTCACACAGCTAGGAAATGTCTGAGGCCAGATTCAAATTCAGGAAGGTAAGCCCAGTGCTCTATCCACTGCACCACCTAGCTGCCCTGATCTGGAGGCCAGATCAAAACTCTTCTCCCCTCTCTCCAATCCCCAAGTTAGACCTTGGCTAAAACTACTGGCAGGACCTTCAAGTCCCTGGGTTCAAAGGAGCCTGTTCGTTTATCGAAGAGTCACAGAGCATGCCTGGGGACACTCTTCCTGGGAAACATCACAGCATTTCATGCAAAGACCCAAAGCATACTACCCTTTCCCAACTTGATTAATGAAGTTGTCGTGCCTTAACTGGATGGATGGATGGATAGATGGATGGATGGATGGATGGACAGATGGATGAGTGGGTGGATGGATGAATGGATGGATGTACTGATGGACAGATAGATGGATGAATGGGTGGATGCACAGATAGATGGGTGAGTAGATGGATGGATGGATGGATTCAAAGGAGGGGTTCTCAAGTGGCTGAGGTATCAGAACCAGAGAGCACAAAATGCCAGTGAAAGAAACAGAATTAGGTTCTCTATTTGGAGAGATGCAGAGCTGTTCTGTGAAGGGCCCAGACCTCCATTTCACACATCTGATCTTTTCTACCTCCAAAGCAAACACTGTACTCCATGGTGTCTCATACAGCCTTCCTTCCTTAGAGGCAACTGGGTGGTCCAGTCGATAGAGCATACTGGGTCTGGAGTCAGAAAAACCCAAGTACAAATTCAGCCTAAGACAATTATTAGCTGTGTGATCCTGGACAAATCACTTGGCCTCTGCCTATTGTGGGGATCGTAATAACCCTTACCTCCCTTCTTCCCTCCCTCTCATGGCTGCCTAAATGCACTTAGTGATAGGTGGTTCTAGTGGCCCACCCTTGTGACACAAAAGACTCCCATTTGATGGGAGATGACATATTTTTTCCTTCTCTAAGGGACCAGGTCACTGGTGAACCTCCGGGAAGAGACCTGTGGTCACTCAGAGGAATTTGACCTGACACCCTCTATAGGAAAGACCCAGGAGATGAAGAGTGTCCAAAGTCCAGGTTTCCACCTGCATATGGAGGAGCGCTCACTAAAGCCCGGAGAGTGCCATGAACACCCCTCCCCACCCCACTTTGGTGTACTATCTGGTGGAGCTTCTCAGCATCATGGTTTTTAAATGCATAAACTACAATGACTGATTACAAAAGAAACCAATTCCATTGAAATACAGTCTGTCTCTATCTCTCTGTTCACACACACCGGGCTGAGAAGCTGTACATCACAGCTTGTCCATCAGCGCGTGTATAG